CACGTGGCTCAGATGCTGGTGCCATCAGTGGAATTTTGTTTTTTATGATGGGGAGGTTTACACAGCCCTGGGCCTGCTGGCAATAGAGTTTGGCTTTCTAGAAGGGGGAAACGGATTCTCCCCGTGAGTTGGCCGGGCTCATTGAGAAGTCTTTAAACTAGTTACATAGGGGGAAGGAGACAAAACAAAGCCCACTAGTGATCAGCCTACGGGTGGCATATCAATGTTGGGGGTGAAATTGAATGCTCAGCTCAAGTGCATCTACACCAATGCACACAGCATGGGCAACAAACAGAAGGAGCTGGAAGCCATTGTGCAGCAGAATAACTGTGACTTGGTTGCCATCACAGAAGCATGGTGGGATGACTCTCATGACTGGAGTGCTGCAATGGATGGCTATAAGCTCTTCAGAAGGGACAGGCAAGGAAGGATTAGTTAAAAAATGGGTTCAGTTACTATGAAGTATGTTTCTGATTAATTAAATGTGCAGTACCAGTTACAGATCCAGAGCTCTGCACTTCTTTCTTGAAAGTAAATTTAAAATTTTCTGAAGTCTTTTAGTATACCAGTGACGGGATTCAAATATCTTATCCATGGGGTGTGGGATTTTTCTATTATAATCAAAAATGTTAATTGTCTTCTTTTGATGCCTTTTATAAATACATACCTTACAGATCTGATCAAGTCCTTTACAATGACAACATACAGGGAGCCAATTGACAACCACAAATTGATCAACTGTGACCCACTGATTACCCAAGGAAACCGCTGAGGAGTTAAGTTTGATAGGACGAGAACAAATGGCCTCAAGTTGCACCAGGGGAGGTTTAGATTGGATATTAGGAAAAATTTCTTTGCTGAAAGAGTGGTCAAACATTGGAACAGGCTGCCCAGGTAAGTGGTGGAGTCACCATCCCTGGAGGTGTTCAAAAAACCACATGGATGTGGCACTTCAGGACATGGTTTAGCGGATATGATGGTGTTGGGTTGATGGCTGATGATCTTCAAGGTCTTTTCCACCCTTAATAATTCCATGACTAGTATAGAAGTTCATGAGCTGTACCTTCGAACATCTCTGAGGAATATCTGTAGTATATGGGAGTGGGGGTTCTTGGCTGAGGGCTAGGAACTGGCAGCAGCAGAACTGGTCTAAACTCCTCTAATCCCAGGCGCACCGTAGGGTAGTTTTACTGAAATGAACATGCAGAATTTGGTACCAACCACCTCAAACTCCCTGTGGTGGGAGTTCAGCACCAAGTCTAGGGGCACACTTACACTTACTTCAGTCCTAACAGAACATAAAACACGTTTTCTGACTACATGGCCAGCTGATATAGCTTGGCTGTAACAATGCAGTTCAAGGCACAATATGTTTGGGTGTTTTTTGAGAATTCTATCCAATAATTCTCACTCACCAGCATCTTGGCACTACAAGCTAGAAGACCCTGCAAAATTTATTGTTACGTGTGGATTTTTTGTGTAACAAGCACAAGTGTAACTGATGGTTTCCATCCTTTTTTTAAGGCCGTTCATCAGAGGCTAAACAACGATTTTAAATTGCCTTAAGGTCTTGGACAAAGACTAATGCAGTTTATGGTATGGTTCCTCTGTCTGCATAGCGTGTGCATGCACACACAGAGCTGACCTGGTGTGAGAGAGAACTTTCCCATCAGGAGGTGTAAGTCCATAGAATTTATCTTTCAAGAGTAAATTCTGGTGGCACTTAAGACCAGTAACTTTCAGTTTGAGGTACTAAAGAGAATTCACTGACTTTTGTGAGGCTCAGGAATGGCCTTAAGGCTGGCTGGCTGTTAAAAAAAAAAAAAAAATAAATAAAACCCTACAACTATTCCTTCACCTTGCAGAAGCATTTATTTTCAGCCACAAGACAAAAGTGTAGACATAGATGGTTTTTAACTATCATTCTCCTGCATACATATATTCATTAAAAGTATTTTTTAAAAAAAGTTTTACAAATTTTTAAAATGTGTATTTAAAAGTAAACAAAATCCATTTCTAGCATTTTACCCATAGGGGAAAAAATATGTAAATACAAATAGTTCATGTGTGAATTCCCATTAACTTTTACATCCAGCTATTTTTGTAGCTTCTTTTTCTTTTTCTCTGGTTCGTTCTTGCTGCTCGTCTCTGTAGACAGCGTTGCAGGCACATCATTTCCTAGTATCTACAGGAAGAAAGAAAAATTAGAACAGTTTAAACTCAATTTTAGCTACTACTATTCTGATGAAACTTGAGTTTAATTGTACAGACCTTTTACAAACAGTGTATCAACATCAGAAAATTGTTAGTAGTCATCTAAAAAGAGAGTCTACCATCATCTAACAATCACAGCTAGAACACTCGGCTGAAGTACAAGCTGGGAAAAGCTAAGGGCGACGCAAGCAGCAGCACCCCTCCTGATGAAATTCCCATGATCATGGGGAGGTTTACACGGCACCGGGCCTACTGGCGACAGACGGAGTTCAGCTTTCTCGAAGGGGGAAAAGGATTCTCGCCATAAGTTGGCCAGGCTCATCGAGAAGGCTTTAAACTAGGTTTGAAGGGGGAAGGGGAGAAAACAAGGCCCACTAGTGATGAACCTAGGGGTGACATGTCAATGTTGGGGGTGAAATCGATAGCTCAGCTCAAGTGCATCTACACCAATGCACACAGCATGGGCAACAAAGAGGAGGAGCTGGAAGCCGTTGTGCAGCAGGATAGTTGTGACTTGTTTGCCATCACAGAAACATGGTGGGATGACTTTCATGACTGGAGTGCTGCAATGGATGGCTATAAGCTCTTCAGAAGGGACAGGCAAGGAAGGAGAGGCACTGGGGTGGCTTTATATGTTAGGGAGTGTTGCGAATGTGTAGAGCTTAACAATTGTGATGACAAGGCTGAGTGCTTATGGGTAAGGATGAGGGGGAAGGCCAACGAGGCAGATATCCTGCTGGGAGTCTGTTATAGACCACCCAACTAGGATGAAGAGGCAGATGAGGCATTCTACAAGTGGCTGGGAGAAGGATTTGTCCCTTGTCCTCGTGGGGGACTTCAACTTACCAGATGTCTGCTGGAAATACAACACAGCAGAGAGGAAACAGGCCAGGAGGTTCCTGGAGTGTGTGGAAGAGAGCTTCCTGACACAGCTGGTAAGGGAACCTACCAGGGGAGGTGCCTTGCTTGACCTGCTGTTTACAAAGAGGAAGGACTGTTGGGAGATGTGGTGGTCAGAGGCTGTCTTGGGCTTAGTGACTATGAAATTATAGAGTTCTCAGTTCTTGGTCAAGTTAGGAGGAGAGTCAGCAAAAGCACTGCCATGGACTTCTGGAGGGCTGACTTTGGGCTGTTCAGGAGACTGGTCAAGAGAGTCCCTTGGGAGACAACCCTGAAGGGCAAGAGGGTCCAGGAAGGCTGGACATTCTTCAAGGAGGAAGTTCACAGAACACAGAAAATGCTGTATGTATCTCCGTATGTATGTGATCCTGTATGGAACTATGGTGTACGCACATTCAGAAGCATGCATTTGCTTCTATTCCTCCTGGCTCAAAAAGAAAAAATCATATAACACAACTACAAAAACATAAAGGTGATGAGGAAGATCAAAGATGGGAAACAGCTTCTGGAAAAGCAGGAGCTAACATAGCGGATTATAGAAGTATAGAGAATTGAGTAGCGTGGGAATGGTAAATAGGAATAAAAAGTCTATTTTTCATAGTGTAGGAAGTACAGTATGGCACCAAGTAAGAGTATTAGGCATCAGGCTTGAAACAAACAAAAGCTTAAGTACTTTTTCATACATCGTGAGCTGTGGGACTCTGTTACAAGACACTGTGGGAGTCAAAAGTGTAAGCTGGGAAAAGTAGTGATTAAACAAATTTACAGAACAAGACTCCATCTACTAGACACAAAGATGTGTATCTCTGCGTAAGACAGTATTTAAGTTGTAAGTTGCTGGAAGCTTTGAACAGACACAAAGTGAATGACTGCTGTATGTGCCTCATTCTCCTATACTTGTTCCTTACCAGGAAGGAGGACTAGTAACTGATGTTTAGGATGACAAAGTACTTTGGATTACCAGTACGGCCATTCCTGTATCAAGGTATAAACTAAAATTATAGCAAACGCTTCCTTGTAGAGCAAGGACCTTCACAGAAATTAGTACAAGTAGTAGAAGGAAAGGGGAAGGGAGAGAAAAAAAAAATTATCAGCTTGCATTAGCCTTACTTTGTGCCCATTTTTGATCAACAAAAGTGTGTCCCTCAGGGACCGGAGTCATTGAAACATGAGCATTCCTGAGTTATGCATACTGCAGCAGCTCCGACAAACACTCGGTGGTGAGGTCAAGCAGTGGACAGCTCAGCATGTGAATGCAAAGCAGGATGCAAGGTTTCTTTCTACTACAAATTTAATTATCTACTCCCACTTTTTGAAATCATGAGGATTGCCTGCAACTCAACCTAATACAACAGCTCAAAGATCAGAATATTTACATGTGTTTGGAAACAGATGATTTCTCAAAGAAAAGAAGTAATAATGTTTGACTGTAAAAACAACAAGGACCTCTTGCGTATTTCGGGTTTTCTTTTTCCTCCGTGATTACAGATACTCAATTACAGCAACCATCTGTTTACCAAGAAAAGTCACATGTAACTTAACAAAAGAAATCTTGTAATGGCATGGAAAATACTCAGCAGGCCTGAGGTGCGAGACCAGGTGAAAACCCCACTGTCCCAGAGGCGCTAAGAAGCTAGAATTGAAAAGTCTTAAGACCAGAGACACAGTTATTAGGACATTACAGTTCTTACAACATTATCAAGAGAGCATTTTTATATTGTGGAAGTTGTAACAAAGGACTGACATTTACACCCAGCAATTACAGTTTCCTTCTGAGCCACCCATGACAGTTACACTGTATTTTACTGGAGCAAAAAGAAGATCCTATTTAGTTTTGGCAGATTTTCAAAAAGGAGATTTGATTACAGAACCATGAAATTCGGAAGATATTACTACATCGTCTTTCCCATCTGTGGAAGTACCCCTCATGGGCCCAGAAGGGAAATTTAATTTACAGCCCTTTATTCTTTTCAACAGCCAGTGAAAGCAGACCTGTCTTTTATTGAGAGTAGATACAAAGCAATGGCTACAATCTGCTGCTGCTAAATGATTTTTTTCTTCTGGGTTAAATTTCAATTTTACTGTATGCCAATTTTTTAAGATTACTGAAGGGTAGTAGGATTCTATGAATCACAAATCTTGTGCCTTACCTTTGGTTCTACCAGCACCATCCGAATTTTTTGATGTTGGATGTTGGAAGCATCTAACATAATGTTCACTTTAACTTTATCAAATACATATAATGTTGTGTCTTCCACAGTAAGTGATGGTACCTGAAAATTCAAAATTTCTATCAATACTCACTGCTTACCATGTCTTATGTTTTTATACAAATAATTTTTTTGTAGGAAAATTATTCATGTTACATGTCAATAAAAGTGAACACAAATTATTGCCCTGAATGTTCAGTGTGTCATAATACATGGGTCATAACATATGGTATATACATTTTTGTGGTATTTACTCAGATAGTTAGATATAGTAGTAGCTATTACAGAAACCAATTCCTGTCAGAACCTCTTTAAGACTTATAAAGACTGTAGCAGCACTACTACTACAGATTAATAAACTTGCATGTAGAAAAGCCTCTCTTACCCTTCTAAATCCAGCTAGAATAGACTTTAGTCATTCTGCTCCTTACAAAATCAAAACCCAAATTTGTATTTAAGAACAAACCTTATAAAACATACCTCACCATTGTAATCCAGTCTTGGCGCTGGTTTACCTTTTTCTTCAAAGAAGACTGTTCCTTCTAACCCATACTTGGGAATCAGAACCACAACTGCATTTTTTCTTACAAATAATATATATGCATCTTCATTCAGTACCCCTTTGCTTTTGAAGAACAGCTGTAACAAAAGTAAAATACATGAATAAGAATAAAGCACAGTAGAATACTCTCTTCTGGATTAAAAATATACTGGTTTAAAAAAATAAAAGCATTAAAATGCAAATCTATACTTAGTGATAATTGCACACCATATATTGAAAGCAGATTTAATAAATCCCATAAACTGTTTATAACATTACTGTAGTATTAAGCATTCATCATATTTATAAAAAGCATAAAAAGAATCCTCAAGATGCCATTGTTCTAAATTTTTCAAAACCAGCAACGCACTGTTGAAGCTTCTCCTCAAAGCAGAAGCCCTTATTCTTAAATCATTCTTGCAGGCTTGCTTGGTTTGGCCCTACAAAGCAGAATGCAAATGTTCCCTCCCTTCCTTTAAAATCAATCATTGTCCGTAGTTAATCCTCACATCTCAGAACTCCTTACCTGTGTATGGAATGCAACAGACGCTCTTTGGGCATACTGAGCCATTTTATGTCGGTAATTGAGATTTTTACACATCTCTGCTAGTTTATGTTTGTCTGTAAGTTCTGGGTAAGTACTGTCTGCTCCAATGGCCACTGCCAAAAGTCGATGCACTATAATGTCAGCATACCTGCAAAGGTGAGACTAAATGATCAATGACATATCAAAACACACGTAAAAAAAAAGGTTCTGAGTGTAATTTCCTTTTTATGTATCTTACAGATCAAAAAGTTTTTGTAATAATGATGGCCTGCTGATAACTCCCTGTATTCATTCAAGATCATTCTCTTTGCTCACCAAAGATACACTCTGCAGAGCCAGAATGAACTACACTGTTTTCCAAGATGAATTCTTTATTATATTCTACCAATACAGCCTGTATTGTTGAATGTTTACAGCGAAGAAACAAAGTTTTATTTTTGGACTAAAGAATGTTTTACCATGGCAGCGTAAGCCACTCCCTCTTCCCTCTCCCATGAACTAGACAAATTTAGAGTAGAATGGTTTTTCAGTGTCAATGATCTGCAAAGCATAATCACTCTTGAACTTGGTATATAACTTTCATTACAACTTCAGCCAGAAACTTTTTAACAACTGTTAGCAACCAGAATTTACTATTAGGACTCTCAGAAGCTCCATAAATTATCCACACAAATGCACAGAAATTTTAAACCACCCGTAAGAGATTTCACTTGACATGTTTCTAACGAGCAAAATATGATGGCAATTATATTTCTCAAAACTTGGATACTACTTAGTTAAAAGAAAAAAAACCCCGAGACGTACTATTTCATTACAATGCAACAGCTACAGCAGCAAGTTTCAAAGTAGCCATGTTTTTATATGTAAAACACAGTCTCCTCAAAATTTAAACACAGCTTCTACCTGAAAAATGACTGGCCAAACTCTGCCTCAGTCTCTGGTCGACTTATATAATGCTAACTGATCCCAAAGTGCATTTCTATACCAGAGATATGCATTAGGGATGTATTTCTCTTATTTTTATGAGTGTTTTAAAACATTTTATTAGACCTTAGGAGTCACAGACAGCGAACCTGGGAGTTCACAGGAAGACTGATCACCATGTAAAGCCACTGCTGTTTCAATTGAAATCTAACGCTGAACAGAAACAGTATTTTGTTTTACATGGACAACACCACAATTTAAAATATAATTTCTTCACAAAAAAATCATTTACTGTTTTCTGAAACTTTCATAAAATAAAAGTACCTTCTAATAGGTGAGGTAAAGTGGGTATAAATAGGGGAGGCTAAACCATAGTGATGAAAATCATTATCCATTCCAGAGCAGAAATAAACAGCTTGCATCATGCAGCGAGTGGTCAAAATTCGCAACAGTGTATTTAGGTAAGGGAACGTAGGAGATTCAGCTTTGTCTAATGATTCAGCTAAAGCCTTTGCTGAATCTGTCTTAATTTCTAAATCCTGGAAGGAGGAAAGAAAAAATAAAGGTCAGGTGTTACTAGCAAATATTAACGGAGTATAAGCAGAAATGTAACAGCTACGTCCATGCTAATCTCACCAACTGGCACAAGTATCACGCCTCATAATGGAATACCACTGTTACAAAAAAAAAAAAAAAAAAAAAATCCACCCATGAACAGGCCCCTCCTCCATTATCACTAGCACTCTGTGCAAAAAATGAAATGCTGAGTCAGTAGTCTAGGAATTTGTCATGGGTTAGTGCTGGGCTGGCAGACTAGTTCTGTCTAGCTCAAACCAGGGCAGAATTCAGTGAAGACATCCATTCAGAACCAAGAAACACTTCATGCTAATATTAACAAGTTTTTTATTTTCTTTGGTATGATTTTTCGATCTCTTTATTGAATAAATCAAAAGGGATATTAAAAAAAAAAAAAAGAAGTATTTCTGTCACATAGATTCTCATCCAAGCACAACGTAAGCAGTAATCAACCTTGTTGCAGGTCCTCCACAAAATTATTAAAACTTGTACTGGGACAAGTGATTTGTAAAACTAGTACTGTATGACATTTTGTTCCCTGTTTGCAAGCGTTCCCTATAAAAATTCAGGTGGTGTGAAAATACATAATGCATTTTCAATTTCAAGTCACACAAAGTAAGTTGCATCACAAGATCAGTTGAATGTTCCTTCATTCATGTACACCACTGACAACAAAAAGTATGATGTAGAGATCAAATTATGCCTGTATTATGATAAATTCATTGCATATTTATTAAAAAAAGTGTAACAAAAATAGAGCATATCAATAACTAGTAGTGATGGCTATGTCAGAGTAGTGAAAAGCCACTCTGGTTTATGAAAAGAATGTTTGTCTATGCACAGGAATTTAGCTTTCCAAATAAAACGATACTTTAAAAATAATTTTCAGAGTAGAAATGAAATTATTATTCCAGTTTTATAGCACTGAAAAACAAAATGGGCCGCATTTGGACTCATCTATTAATCTTACACTAACAGAATTTGGGAGTTTCTCTCTTGCCCCTAGGAAAAAAAAAAAAAAAAAAAAAAAAGAAGGGAAGGGGGGAAGTTGAAGGGAAAGGAAATATGAATGCACATCACAATGTCTAGAAAGCTAAAAGTTTAGCTCAAATAAAAGATCCTGAAACTGGAAAAGTAATTTTTCAGACTTGTTAATTAAATCCAACTTGGTTCAGGCTAAATTAACCTCTAGCTGACCTAAGGAGAGGATGGAATCTATGAACACATATGGACGCATTTTCTTACTTCCTCACTTTGAGAGACACATGTTATTTGATGTGACTGACCAGTTTTTAAGTACATCGTATAACATATGTGATCGGAAGCCAAAAAACTGGCTCAAAAAAATCACACGTGGCTTGGACAGCAGAAACATTCACAGCACACAATTACAACACAAAAGACTTAGAGTGATTTGCTTCATTTACCTAAAAAAGGGTTTAAAAAGCACAAGATTCTTCCTTTGACCTAGAGGTACAGTTATCTCGCTACAAGTACCAGCAATTTCAAAGTGTAGCTGATACACTTTCAAAATAGTGCTTTCCCACCCTTATTCTTGGTTAAGTATCCAACCAGAGAGAAAACGCAGCTTTTTACAATTAATTCACTTAATGAATATGGTAAAAAAACTTGCCTTGGACTTGGCGGCCTTCACAAGGATGTCATAATTTGACGGGGGAGGAGCAGGATGTTTCCGGAGCAAGGCAAACTCCGGGAACTCATCGTAAATTTTTTGTGCTACAGAGACATTGGCCAGCAACATGAACTCTTCAACCATTGAATTTGTTTCTCTATCAACAGAAAATATTTCGTATTGTTAGAAAAACATTAAGTTATATATTTACGTTGAGTGCCTAATGAAGAAACATTCCACCAGTCTAACAATATTATATAATATTAACTAGTGGCTTTGAACATTTATACAATTAGGCAAACATTTTTAAGACTAAAAACCTAACATTTATTAAGTTTCAAATACTGAGTCAGAATTAAAAAAAAACCCTAAAATATTCTAAACTAACAAATTAAAGAAAAATGCTCTATAAAATGCCCCAAAAGAGCAAAAGATAAGCCTCTTGATTTCTTCCTAGGACTACTGTTCAAATATTGTGCATATGAAGTTGAAAAGCACCATGTTGCACACCATAAAGTCATAACAGTATACATGAGTTAAGTGCACGTTTTAGCCCAGAAACTAAGTAGTAGTATGAAGGTATCTATCTTCAGAAATTGAATCAGTAACTCCATTTCTAGAACTCCTCAGTAAGATGGCATGTATCACTCTGCACATGTGCAGTAACTGCTCTGTTGTTCTTAAGGTTTCGGTAATCCCTAAGTCCAAGTTCTACTTTCTCTCCTTTGTTAATACCAGCAGAAGAACATCACAGAGAAGCCAGTGGTATGTAGAGAGTTTGGACCTCCGTGCTCCGTCAAATCAGTAGTAAAGACTTAAGTTCATATATGGACCTTGCAGTTGAAAACCTGCTTCATAAATAGCGCTGTAAAATACAGAGGAATTCTCTTTCCTAAGATCAGTTTGCCCAGAGAAGCTGTGGCTGCCCCCTCCCTGGCAGTATTCAAGGCCAGGCTGGATGGAGCCTTGAGCAACCTGATCTAGTGGAAGGTGTTCCTGCCCATGGCAGGGGGCTTGGAACTAGATGATCTTTAAGGTCCCTTCGAACTCAAACCATTCTGTGATTCTATGTCCCTGTCTATGGTAGGAGGCTTTGATCTTCAAAGGTCCCTTTCCAGCCCAAATAATTTTGTAATTCTATGATTGTCCTGCACTATTATAGGAATTTTGTACACTGTTAACTAAATGTTGCTACTTAAACACGTCTTCAAATCCATCCCTGTCCCAAAATAGCTAACTGAGGAAAATAAAACACATACTTGAGCTCCTTTGTCTGCAGATCGATAGGATCATGAGTTTCACTGTCCATGTGGAAACGAACTTCTGGTGAGGAAAGTGTCAAGGCTCTGGAAAACAGTAAGTGGTACTAACGACTTACAGTAAAGTAGACACAGCAGCTGAGTTGCAAGCCTGTACAAACATCTGGGTTTATCATGAACCCGTAATTTAAATTTAGCAGAACTTGAAAAGAAAATTGTGGAATTAATGTTCAAATTTGCAGAAATTATGATGCTGATGCACATCAACAGTAGCTCCTAAAATTTCAAATACTACTCCTCTGATTCTGCTTTTATAATGACTGCAAGAGATCCATACCAATGGATCTTGTGAAGAAAAAGTTAACATCCTAAGTTTGTATTTTTGGGGAAATGAGGATAGGTGTTTTTATGCAAATTGAAATGGCAAAATGCTTCTCTTTCAAAAGATTTTCACTGGAAAAATGGACACAGAGGATGATGATACAGTTTGACAGAAAAAAAAATAGTCAGAAAAATAAAACAGGGGAAAATAAAAAGTAACAGGGACACCGAACCATTTACCCATTATCAATTCTTCTCTTTTTCAGAATTTTTGCTAATTTGTTTAGTCCACGTAGGCTGGTAGTAATATCATCATTCATAGTTGCTGAATCAATTCTCATCTGTGCTTCAGCATATGTAAGAGAGGCCTTGAAGAGGTTAAAGAAACATCATGATACATAATTGAAAACTGAAAAGAAAAACACAGTTCTGTCTTGCAGAAAGTGCAGTTTGCTGTCAAAGCTGGTTTGCACTTATACAAAGGCTGACATTCAACACCTAAATGCATGTCATTCCCAAAGAATAATGGACAAAACAGGCCAGATCTATACAAGATATTAAGAAATACAAGGCATTTACAGTGGCTTTTTTATGCTGATCACAGATCTATTTCCTATATTAGAAATCTAATTTTCAGAAAGATATAAACACTACAGAGTCCACTGAATTTAACTGAAAAGTATGACTAGCTGGTATATACCAGCCATGTCATTGTATATCTCTCAATACATTTATACTTTTAAAATGAAACACCATAACAAAGTAATTGCACAAAAAACATTGTGGCCTTAGAGGTTTAAAAGAACAGGGCAGAACCAAATATTTTCTTTATTTTTAGGATTTAAGCATCATTTTCTAATTCTAAGAAAATGCAAATCAGTAAACAGAACTGAAATTATATTATCAAGTCTGTTGATCATTGGTTTTATATAAAGGTCTCCAGTTTTGTTTCAGAAGTATAATAATCACGTTACTAACCTTGGAATTAATAATACTCTTCGTAAATCTGGTTTTCAGAATTTCAGCCTTATGGTTCATCTCCCAGATACATGAAAATGCAAGCCTGAGAGGGAGAAGGCCAGAAAATCTGTTAAAATGCACATATAAACATCTGGAGTTTCTTTTAGGATCAAAGTATGGATCATATACATATACCTGTCCACATTAGATCTCAGGGAGCATAAATTGGAACTAAGTAACTCAGGAACCATATCAATCCTCTGCAAAGCAAAGAATAAAAATCATGAGTAGTTAAAAGTATGTACTTTAATTCCCTGATTTTTAATATACTAAAATCTCAGAAATAATAATTATTTTTTTCTTTTGCTAAGAAAGCTCAGACTTCTGAAAGAAAAGCAAGCTGCTTTAGTGGCAATTAATTCCAAGTTCCATTTTAATTATCAGTTTTTTAGTAACAGTTATTTCTGAAAAGAAGTTGTGGTCTGTGAGAACTAAGTTAAAATAAACAGGACTAAGTGTACAGTTGTAATCAATACAAATCATAGGAAACAGTAGAGATTTAGCAATCACAAGTTAAAAAGAAAAGGCAAAACCAGGCCTCTTCAACAATTTCAGATCAATGTTAGAACAGTAGTCCAGTTTAACAACTACACATTATTAATTCTCCAAATAGGATTTGAAAGGGATATTCTACAGAGAATGGATTTAAAAAGAAAAAAATATTTCTCCCTTTTGCTGTGCAGGCCGAATGACAGACAGCACCTTCATTTTGATAGTCTGAGGCAAATTAAGGGCAGTCCAAAGGAGTCTACTTTTTTTTTTCCGCTTTCCTTAGTTTAGAGATAATGTCTCTACTCCCAAGAATTGAAAGAGGAAAGCAATGAAAAATCAAAATGCTTAATTGTACAAAAAGCTTTTTATACAGAAAACAATTACTTTTTCACACAGATATACTGTTGTTCCTCTTTTTGCTGACTCCTCATCCAAAGCATTTCCTGGGCGAATAAAATGACTGACATCTGCAATATGTACACCAACCTAAAAAATAAGCATCACAATATGCATCTTACAGAAGAGAAATAGTTCTGAACACGAAAGAAACTTTCTCAAGTGTTTATTTACAACACAGTTTACCCATTCCCAGTTTCCCTTAGCAGCTCCTATATTTAGTAGCAGAAATAGTTAAAACCTATCATGTTGATATTAAAAAAAACATAGTTGCAGCAATTATGCAAAATAAGGGCATGCATACCTTTAGTGGAAAGTTATATTAATTACCAATGCAACTTTTCTTTCCTGGGGGCTCAAATAATCTCTTTAATTTTCTTCAAGGCTCACTGCAAATTTGTTTTTGTTTTTCTGTTTGCTAGACCCTCGATTTTGGCACACTCTGCTATTAAATTACAAAATCATTTATAAGAAAGAAAACCTGACTAAATCAGATATAAGGGGGTAGAGAGCTGGTGTTAAGCCTGTAGCTTTTTAATGCCTTTTTTTTTTTTTAATAAAATAATCATTCCTTAGGTATTACAGAAGTAGCTTCACTTTTGCTACCAATAGTTCCTTATCTTGGCTGTAGATGTTTATACTGCTAAAGCAGTAAGTCAGTCCTATGTTAATTTCCCTTGCCAAAGGAGCTGAAAGCTGGGTGGATTTAGAAGACATTAAATTCCCACTTCAGACACTGATGTAATGCAAATCACCTCCCTTTCTTTACCACCATCTCGCAGCTGTGCGAAGACCATTGATTTCTTTTACAACAGATCTGGAGCTTTGCTCATGTCACTTACTATCACCACTACTGCACCGTTTGTAAAATAAAGGAAGAGGTGAATAAATAAATGACTGGCTTGATTAAAACAGAAAAAAGAAACAATACCTCTATATTTCCATTTCCTACTTCTCTACAGTGTAATGCATCATCAATATCTGTACAGCCAGGAGGATCAACACTACAAACACACAGATGCCTTAAGTCCTCCCTGTACTTCATATCCTGAAATTAAAAAAAAAAAGTTGTTTTCAAGAACATCTTGTGTACCAAAGTAAAAATGATCATTTGAGAAAGGCACTTTGCGTAAGATTTTCCAAAGCAACCAGTATTTTCAGAGTGCTTTTTGTTTGTTTGTTTAAGGACAAGATTTTCAGTAATAGTTATTTCTAAGATCAAAACTGATACACAGAAAGTACAGTGACAGAGAAACTAAACCAGAAGATTATGAAGTACTGAAAATTTTTCTGTTTTACAGAAAACAGGAAGAGAAACAGAACAAAACCATAATCTTTTAATGATCTCAGAGTTAGCAGGACCAAGAATCAAGGTTTTCTTAAGTGAAATTGACTGATATCCAGCTAGACAAATTGTTTAGGATATGACTGCTCTCAACTAACTTCAGCTTCCTAAGGCTTAGATGTCTAGACAGTTGAAAGGAACTGCACACTTTGGAAGTTATCTACCTTTGTACAATGGTTACAAAAAAGATCTCAGGTAGTTATCTTAGACCAGATAACTGACTTTTAGACAGCTAATTTACACAAAGATCCTTCCTTCAGTCTCCGTGTTCAAATGAAATTTGGAATAGGTAATAAATTATAACAAAAGTAGCCCACCTCAAAGAAATTAAAATACACAACACATACAAGCAAAACCATACCACGCTCAAATTACTCCCTGACAACATTTTTCTATGCATTCTAAAGGAACCGTTTCCCGCATTTATGCTACTGGAGAGAACCTGAAATTCACTTACATAATTTAAAACAAGCAGTTCTGCAAACACCAATTTCTCCTTCTCCAATTACTTTACTGGATTATAGCAGGGTATATTAAGTCTCCTCTCCGCACATTATTTTAGTGATAACACAGGCTGCCACATATGGCTACAAAGCTATATAGCAAGATGAAAAAACTCTTAGTGATGATTTTGCAATTATTTCTACCGTAGTCTCTCTCATATGCAAAAAACCTTTTAAAAATATTTGTATTTTTTAATGAAACCTACAGTGTTTTTTTACCTTAAAACGTCCATCCCTAACAAACACGGTTTTAGCCAAAATCCAAACACCTGCAGAGCCATTGTTTCCATAGGAAATCTGGTTCAAAGTCCACCCTAAGACAAAATGGTTTTGGACCACACTTCTCTAATTTTGGTGCACTGGGATATCCAAGAATGTCACAGTTTGATTTGAAGGAGAAGGCACAGTAATTACTACAATAATTTAAAAGGTATTACCTGTTCTGTAATGCTCCATGGCATTTTTGGTAGGAAACTAAGGACACACTGGGAAAAAGGCTGATGAGGAACATCATGTTCAAGCAGAAGAACTTCTGTCTCAGTCTCTTTATCTCCAGCACTTCCCAAGTTCTTTACAAAATGACCCTGAGAAACAATATGCATATATACAAATATATACACACGCACACATCAAGCAATAGCGTTTATTCAAAAATAAGTATCTCATAGATTGTTAGTATATTAAGCTACACAGATGGAATAATCCTTCCTTCTTCAGTTAACTTTCTCATCTTTAAAAGAGAAATTCAATTTCAAACATTTTAATTGATTCAGTAAGTCTGAACTTTGTATTTCCCCCTCTTTTCCTAGAATGGCACTAAATTCTCCACATTTAAGACTCCAAAAATTGTAAATGTGGCAATTCAGTTTTGCAGTAAAGAAAAAACCATTGCTGTACAAGTGGCAAAACTAATTAGGTCTAATTTCTCTATGGGTTTGTGATGTGCCACTCATCCCACTCCCTAACACATTAACTACTTCCTTTCTCACACATCTCACCCTCTGCAGAAATCAGAATCACAGAATGGCAGGGGTTGGAAG